GTGTGCTCTTCCGATCTATAAAATTTTTATATTCTATACTTATAGAATTTTTAAAATAATGAGAATTTAACAAAAATTTTACAGATTGTTCTTATATATGTTGAAAGACTTAAGACAAAAGCCGGAGTCGATTTACTGAAGCAATCCAAAATTATAAGGATTTTAATTTGAATTTTTTGGTTAGATTTGGCCATAGAATTCGAAAATTCTCAGGAAAAAAGCAACAGAAACATTTCTGTGCTCTAGTTCTGAATAAATGATAACATTCTGCACTTATTACTCAAACTATATGAGAAGAGCATATTCGTCAAAATCAGTCCTTTAACTTTTTGCTACTATTGTACGTATTAAACATCCTTAACTTTTTCGTTGATAAAAATTTCATTTGGTGTTTATTTCAGGTCGCTCGCAGTGCCAAGAGGAAAGCGCAACCAAGAGAAACGGAAAATTTAGTCGAGTTCTCGGAAAATTCGTTCGGCAAAACGCGGCGCGCGCGGTGGCCGCGATTCGCAGTGAAGCGCGAATTAGCGCGCGGCGGCGGAGGATGACCGCGGGGGTTCGGTGCCCGTGATATAACGGGGTGAAGGGGTGGGGCGCGCGGTAGAGTGCAGAGGGTGCCGGCCGGTTATCAGAGGGGTCGGATACGCGGAAGCGCGCGCCAGTCGACGGCGAGACTTCGCCCGCGCAGCTTCCCCGTTTGTTTCTGCCGGCGCCATCCATATATCCGATTCGGATCCGCGTTTGTCGTTCTCGCGTGCAATTTTCGTCGCGTGAAATCGAGTAGCTTTCGGCCAATTTAGCACTCGATTTTTTTCGCGCGAACGAATATATACGTCTCTCCGCGGAATACGAATACTCGCAAGTGGAGGAGGGGCCCACGTGACACAGTCGCGGAAGGAACGCGCGGGACCGTCGTCGATCGAGGAGTGACAACGACTGTCGTTCGTTCGCTTCGGAAGACAGGATCGTTTGATGTAGAGCGACGAGGACGATGACGAAGACGACGCGCCGATTTTTACTGCCGCTGCTGCTGTTGCTGCCGCTTGTAGGCGGTGAGTACCTTATAATCTCTCACGTGCGCACTTTCGTGTTGGAGAACGCGCGCAAGTCTCGGTGCAGTCGCGTGATCGCCAAGAAGTTGATGGCTATCGTTTCATTATTTAATGTGTGAGAAGTCGTGTAACAAGTTTGCAATTGAAAAAGTTTTATTATTCCATTATTGTTACAAGAAATTTGTGATTCTTTTCGTGCGAGATTTTCACGAGAGTGAGAAAAAAAACGCAACTGGTATTAATGAACAAAAAAATTTATAATTGGCAAAAATGTATAGTGAAAGCAGGTTTTATTAATCGTCATGAAAGTTGATAAAACAAGTGACAAATATTCAAATTAATGTATGCAAATCGAAAAGAACAAATTTGGCACACTGTTTGGGCATTGAATAATAAGAGAGAATTCACATTGGAGTGGAAAAGCAGAATGCAAAAAAGCAGAAACCAATAAGAGAAGCTTCTCTGTTGAGTTGCATTTAACTACCAAGTGCCACACTTCTAGTACTTGGTAGCTAAGTGCAAGTTTGATTGGTTTCTGCTTTTCCGCAATTCTGCTTTTCCGCGCCAATGTGAATTCTTCCTAAATTATTAAGAAATCATCGTTAAATACTAATGCACGCATACGCGATCTAAAAGTGACATCAAAATGTGGTATTGGCATTGCAAGTGCACTTAACAAATTTGCAAATAAAATATTAAATCCCTTACTTTTTTCATCGCGAAAAGTTAAGATTATTGAATGTCTATATCTGAAAGCCTGTAACATATCTTGATTTGCAAAACATTCTGACGAGTCACGTAAGTTGACAAATTAATCTCAATTTTTACGAAATAAATTGACAGCGTCGTAATCAAGTAGACGAAAGACGCGGACGTGATCTTGATTACGGTCTCTTCTTTGCCGCCCGTACTTACTTGCATCGCCGTGGCGATGACTTCTCGGCGGTCGCGCGACTTGTTGAGCCACCACCACCTCTCGGTGGCGAGGAAACGAGGCGTGCGCCGAATTCGCACGAGGCGGGACAGAAATTCCGCTTGACGAAAGTAGATTGATTTTCTTGCTCGGACAAACATCAGCGTTCCTACAATCAGGCTAAGAGGACGCGGGCGTCGTAA